TACACTTAATCTTGCAGGTTTAAAAACTGAAAATATAAAAGTATATAATAATAAGAAAGTTTGCTCACTCACAACAAATTACGCGAGTTTGGGTTTTCATTTGCGATAAGTATTAAATGAGGACATCAGTTAGTTACTTAAGTATTCACGGAAAGTAAAATAAAATAGGGTAAGATAAAGATCCGGGGATCAAGTTCAGACTTAGTTTTAGACTTGGATGTCATTCAGTGCTAACATGCTGAATAACTTTAGGTGATTCGTTAATCATTCGAATTGTAATTTCCATTATACTTCACGTTTTAGATAATACTTCAGTTTCATATTATGTTATGAAAATTACTAAAAATTTTAATTTATGATTTTTTATTGTATATACTGACACAATGGCGTTACTAAGCTGAAACATTCTACTAAATTTGTTAAGACAAGTTACTAAAAAATGTATCTGAGTCAATCAAGCGTTGTCACAGATCTTAGAAGTAAAGATCATCGCTCTGATATTACTACATGTCGAAAAAGAAGGATATTAACAGGATATTTTTGAGTTTGAATTGACTTTAATATATATTATCGTATTTATAAATAATTCAGTCTGTGCCTAAAAATATTTCATGTTAATTAATAAATATTGTACGGGTCGTTTGAAATAATAATAATAATAATAATTTTTTATTAAATAGATAAATGCAATTTGAGGTACACTTAAACTACTTAATCTTACACCACAAAATAATTATTATCTATTATTACTAATTATTACTATTTAATAGAAATGCGAGAAATTATAATAGAATGTTTAGTGCCCAAATACTTATATATTATTTAGATGACATTTATGAGTAGAGACCGGAATTATATGCACTAAAAATGTAGCAAATATGATGCAAATATGTAAAGCAAAAGGGTCAAAATATGCATCAATATGTACAAATAATTGAAAAATATGCTCAAGTATGTATTATAAATTTATATTACTTTTACCAACTACAAATTTAATAAATTTATAACATAACAAATGTAACAAAATTTGGAGTGTTTAACTTTTCAACATCAAATTAAATCAACAAAATATTTAAGTATATATAAAAAAAAAAATCATTAAATATTTTAAAACAGTTTAAACAAATAATAAAATAGAAATGTTGGATCTTATAACATCAAATTAAATTAAAAAAATATTTCAATATAAAAAACCATTATTTTTAGTTTTCATAACAATAAATTAAAATATACATTTCCATATTTTGTGGGGTCATATTGGTTCTTTTTTCAGTTAATATCACTTTTGTAAGTTCTAAACGACCGTTCAACGTCCACATATGTTATATGTGCATATTTCATATAAGTACTCATCATGGGTGTAAAATTTGGAGATAAGAACCTTTCTTTTTTCCCGTATAAAACATCTGATATCTGCTTCAATATTTTAAAACCACCATCTTTGTGTATTAAATCAGAAACTTTCTCTAGTACTTGTGCATTATCGCCCCTACTGCCGACTAGTCGCTACTATCTTGATTTCACTTGTGTGTTATTGCGACCACCTTGATTTCGAACGCATTATTGTATGCAACATATTTTTAATACGTTTATAATAATACATAACTACCCAAAGCTAAAAGTCAATGTAGTTGGTAAGTTCCACAGATCTATTGCCAAATAATCGTAACTGTACAACAAGTTATTACTATTACAGCGTGGTTGTGACTAAATGTCTACAAAAGTCCTAAAAGTTACCTAGCCAGTCTATAAAAATTGCGGTAAATGCAATTGTAACGACATTTAAAAAAATAGAATTAGAAATAGAATCGCGTATTAAACGGCGTAGCTATAACCTATAATATGAGTTAGTCGCCATAAATAATGCATATAAGTCGCGCGGTAGGCGCGACAATGCACAAGTATCCTTTCTCTTTAATAATTCTTCCATTATTTCCAGACACCATTTCCATGTTTAAAATAGTTTCATTAACATTTTTTGTTGCATCAAATAAAGATAAATTAGATGACTACTTTTAACAGATACAAAAAAATTAGTTTTAATATATGTAAGATCAGTTTTAACAGACTCTAACTTAAGCATATTTTCACATTTTTATATACTGACCACATTTTTTTCTTTCAATTTTTTAATGATAATTATTTTTAGCTGTTCAAAATTATCATCACAAAAGGTAGTTGCTTCAATACAAGTACCTCACCTGGTGAGTAAGGTTCTGGTAGTAAGGCTACATTTGGCAAGACATCTTTGTAGACTTCTACATAGCGAAGAGCTTTTAAGAACACTTTTTTAAAATTATTTACTAGTGTATTAACATTTAGAAATAATTCTCTCACTTTTTCAGAAATTCTTTGAAGCATATGCGCTAAGAATGTGACATTTAATGTTGGGGAAAAATACATTTAATGTAATACCTGCTTTATCATATATGGGGCTGCATCTGATAATAATAGCAAAGAAATTTTGTCATTACCACCACTTGGCCACAAAATTTTTAAGCCATTATTGACAAAACGTGCTATAGTAGAATGATTTGTTTTTTTCTAGTTTTTTACTAGCAATTAAAAAGGGTTTGCAAGAGTTTTCACTACTTAACACACCTATTAAAAGATTAGCTATGTAGGTACCATTAATATCTGTTGTTTCATCTATAATTAAAAAAATATACGAATTCCCTACTTTTTCTCTTATATTTTTTATTATTTTATAATAACATGGCTCGAGATAAGATTTTCGAAGTAAACTCTTGTCTGATATATGTTGATTCATGTATTTTTGCAAGAAATTTTTAAATTGTGGAACTTGAAGTTTAAACCATGGTTAGTATGGTATGTTGGTAGCTATTAAGCTCAAACAGAGATCTTCATTAAAATTATTGGTTTTAGATTTGTAAACATTTTCCAATAACATTTGTTTTTTATTCTTTAAACTTCGTTTTAAGGAATCAGTAAGAAAAGATGTATAAACATGTGTGATTTGAAATTTTTTACTACACGGTACTTGGCAATTGAATACCTGACAATAAACTACGTTTTCATCAGTTGTAAATACAATAGTGTCTCTATTATATAGTTTAATCCACTGGTTTAGCAAACATTTAATATTTTTTCGTATATCAGACATTTTTTCAAATTGTTTTTAATTTACGCAAAATACGCAAAATAAGAATAAAAACTTCATTAAACCGTAAATTAAACGTGATAATATGTACACTGCTAGTTACTACATATGACAAAATAGATCTATTTTGTCAATATTGTCATGCTACTACATTAATACATGAAACGGTAATACAGTGAATTTAAATCAGTGTATCACTTTTCAAATTTGCAGTGTAGCCAGTAAATTAATACTAAATTTTTACGCAACTTTAAGAAGTAACCTTACAATTTATTTGTCAGATAATAGTTTATCAATACGGTATTGAATTCGAAAAGATAAAATTTTATATCGTGTTAATAGTAATTGAAAATTCCAATTTCCAATACAAAAACATGAAATAATTTGATTATTTATTATGATTTTAAAAAATATATACATTATATGCACTTATGAAAAATATGCCCCAATCCTTCAAATATGTCATTATATGCAAAATGAAATTTGATCCATGGAATCAGTTGGATCTGAATCGCCCACATTTCGAACCCTCGTATAAGTTCATACACTCAGTATGAACATGCAAATGCATAAAATTCCGGTATCTACTTATGAGTAAAAATAACTCGTTTTGGTAACACTACACCGCTACACCATACCGCTATTTTTTTTAAAATTACCATTTCTTGTTATAACTAATTTAATAGACGATTAATGAAAGCATATTATATAATTATCATCGAGTTTCGACTAGGTACATAGTGATTTGAATGAATGGCCTTTTCATGTTGTTACTAAGAGGTATTGAAGTAAATTACGAATCGAACATCTGTGAGTGCTTGTTGTCTTACAAAAATGTTTTGAACAATTGTGAAGGGGGAGGGTCCAAATTATTATTTAGCGTTTTTCCGAAGTGATCGACATCGCAGACGTTACAGTATCTATACACGTGTCAGCTATCATAAGTACAAAATACGCGTGCGGATCATATAGTTCGTTTGCTCAATGGCACACACACACTGATGGTCAAATTGTGTTATCACAATTATAATTTATAACACTAAAAGTAACAATACAGCTAAAATATTATAGTACGTACAATAAACTAGATTGGCAAGTGTTGTAGATTATACTTGTGTATTCGAGTGAAAATGAAAATTAGAACGATACTATTTTTTGAGCTGTACCAGTACTTACACCATAAACATATGTATAGTTATGGCATATGTACGTTGTGCCAAAAATGTCAAAAAATAAACATTTGTAATCCTAATCACATTTTTCATATACAGAATTATTTTTTAAAATTGTTTTGTCATAGTGCTGTAATCTAAACTAATACGTTTTAAAATGCAGTTATTAGCTCATATTAATTACTGTTATTTATACATTCATTTTTTTTTTTTTTTGTTAAAATAATATTTTTTTCATGGTGCTACCCTATAAATGTTGGACCCCTATCTAAAAAATAAAAATAAAAATCCCGGCTTCACTACTGTAGACGATTATTTGGTGATTGCGAGGGTCACCGTTTCGGCTGAGTGGAAGAGTGACACGGAGCAAAATTATTCCTGTACATACGTAATTTTTACCATCTGCGAATCAAATTTGTTGTAGGGTTTAGGCAATTACCGTCGCCCACACATGGGGTGTGCTTGTACGGTTGCGTGCGTTTTGGACTCAACGGGATTCCGACACAACGGTCGCGGCGATTCCGACACACTCACGTTACCGCTTACCAATCCGGTTTATCGTACAGATCTGTGTACGGCCATCACTAATAACCGAGGCCGTAGATTTACGGCCGTGCCAATCGCCGCCGCCGCTGTCAGCAGAAGTGGACGTGACCGACGACGGCGGTGTAGAACGCGGCCGTCAGGCGTTTCGTTAAAGGTCTTACCGATGAGCGGTGGTCGGGCGTGGGCTCAGCTGGACGGCTGCAGGGGCTCGGGTACCAGATGCGGCGTGCGGCTGCTGATGGGCGGCAATATGGGACTGGTGGGCCAATGGTAATGGGATGCGCCGCCGGTGCCGGTGGGCGGCACGCTGCGCGAGTGCGACATGACGGTGGACCCGTTGCCCATGGCCATCATCATCATGCCGCCGCCCGGGGCGCCCGAAGACGACGGGAACATCAGTGGGTTGCCGCCGACGCCGGTGATGCTGCCCGCCGGCGACGAGGCGGACGGTTGCATCAGGCCACCCGTGGTAGCCGCGGCCGCCGACTCGGGGTGCAGGAAATTGCGCCTGGACTCCGTGGTTGACGACACGTTACTGTTCTGCTGGTTCTGGTTCTGCGCTATGCATCGGGTCAGGATCTCCGGCAACAATTCCAGCTGCAACACACGCGAAATCGAATAATCAGTGCGATGCGACCGGTGAGCGCACCGCAGAACAACACCCGAACGGGAACCTATTGCCATCGGCTCGGAACACCGAATGCAACATCGGAAAAAAAACGAAGCTGTCTAACCGGATATGGAATGTTCTTTTTGTGTCCGTTGCTTCTAGCGATACCGTTGATCGTGTGCCCAAAAGGAATTCTCGATATCCGGTTAATCAGTTCAATTTTTTTTTTTTTTATCAAACCAGCCACCCATTTTTCAGGTAGTTTACGACGGATTGGTTTCCATTCTGGTCGTTCTGTGGTACGCGTTCGCGGTGTTACCGTATTTTATTTTTAACGTATAAACGTTTTGTTGAACAATGTAATGTTTTGGTATTTTTTAAAATTTTTTATTTATAGTTAGTTTATGGAAACACATATTAACCTACTCTCTATCGTGTATTTTTAACAGTTTTAAATAGAATCGAATGACGAAAAACGATCATCGGATTTTCTTTTTTTTTTTTTATCAGTTCGATTATGATTTTTTAGAGTAAAATATTTTATTTGAATTTATAATTTATCGGTAAATAATATCGCAGTACAGTGCAAACGTAGCATTATTAATAGCCCCTTCTTTCTGTTTCAACCGGAGTTCTAGTCTACCGGGAGGCAGAATCAGACTCGAGAACGAATACAATTAGTATCGCGTCGCACATCGATGTTTATCGTTTCTGTACCATAACTCAAAACATTGTCTACACTTTTGAACCGTGGTCAATAATTTTTAACTTTTAAAAATATTAAAAATAAAAAATAAAACCCAAACAGTACAATATACAGTGAAGAACGATTACAAGTCAACAGTGCCTACGACGTAAAAGATTATTGTTTTTCTTTACAGTGTACCTAGTATCAAGTTGCGAACTAACCTCCACAAGCGGATCGTCGAGCGCGCGGGGTAATAGTCGACGCGAACGGTGTGAGATTTTATTATTTTATTTCGCAGACCAAACTAACGTGTTCCGCGATACGACCGTTTGGTCGGAACGCATTTCCATGCGCGTACACTGTAGCATATTGCTGTTGCTTAGTGAACGGTCGTCGTCGGTGCAGCAGAAACGTACGCAGACGTACGATAAACGGTCGTATCCTTAACCGAACGAACGCCAAAAGACAGGAGACCGTAAGTAATGCGCGAAAGTCCTGCCGATACACGTTGAGCCACGGTCGTTATAAATAGTTTCCAACAACGCGCGCAGGGGGGGTTAGTATCGAGTATGCGTGTACGTTATATAGACCGTCGTTTTAATCGGACCACCTCTTCATCAAAGTCAGCGTCCGACAATCGCACAGCACTAAAACCCGCGTTTCACCATGTTCACGTGTTAAGACCCGAGAGCGAACTTTAACGGTGAAATACATGTGCCGCACAGCAATAAATTTCGCACCGGAGCCGCGGTAATAACCGCGGTAATACGTTGGTACCGTTCGCTGTTGGTGAGTGGGCGAGGGCGGTGGTGAGAGCTAGTGCCGGACACGGATGATTCGATTTCTTCGAGGCTTTACCAACATTCTGATGGTATTATCTGTTGAAGATAACGCTTCGTTAACTATCTTCACGACGATATCGCAGCGTATATTTTTCATGAAAATTCGGATAAAATACGATTGCGTACGTTCGTTATCGGCGATACTTTTTTAAGCTGCACGATTTCGTACGATTTTACCTGATTTTTAATTACACGATTGCGTACTAAGTTTTAAACGTTGATGCCAATTGTCATACCGGTATTGGTGTATACCACATGCCTATACGAGTGAAACGAAGTGATATTAACTTGAAAAAGTTAAGGTAGTAAATACTTTATGTTTTATCGCTTTTATCACCTATGTTTATTGTTAATGATATCAAATATATCAGATATAACGAAATTTCGTTATTTCCGTTATATTATACGGTATTTTCCGAGTTTCAGTAAAAGTAGTAGGTTATAGATGTCAGGGAATCTAAATTTAAGCGTTTTAAAATAATTTATTAACAATAATTTCAATAAAATAAAAACTGTCGATTTTATTTATTTATTAATTACTTTTCTTTTATTTAGTTATCCTCATTTTATTTATTATTTTATTATTAATTTTCTTTTATGAACTATTATAGAAATGTTAGTACATGTATTCTATATTTATTAGATATACGAGTATTACGGTGAAATTAGTAAATTTACAATGTTGCATACAATTTCATACGCAATCGTGTTGCTAAAAAGGACAAACGTACACAATCGTGTACTACCCGTAATCCGTACCACGCATTTTCACCCACTTATAATGATATGATACAGAAGAACCCTTATCTACCCCCTTCCATATGATTATAATTTGTAGTACTATGTCAGTAATAATTTTCAGCAATAGTTCTTTTTTATTAATCGAATTGCACATTGTAATCAGGTAACTATCAATATGTTATTATTTTTTAAACTGAAAATATACTTTTGACTGATATAAATCTGAAAACTATTTACAAATTATTTATTTCAATGTGGAGTATATCATTTAAAATTGAATTGATATATTTAAGTCCTCGTCAATTGTCTTGCTTGAACTGGCTTCCTGAAAAACACCTTCATAGTTGTTCATAGTCCATCAATATTTAGAAGGTACACACTTCTCGAATCCGTAGTGCACACTTTCAGTTTCGCACTACACACTTGGTGTCGGGGTTCGTTAAAATATAGAGTCTGCGATATTTTAGTATTGTATAACGCCATATTATTCTGTGCGGTCCACTCGTAGTGTAATCAATAACAAGTCGGGCCTGGTGATATGTCGTCTTAAAAGTCTCGGGTAGAGTTTTACGACAGTAATAATACGACGTAGCAGTCACAGTTTCACAGTCAAACGGCATTTGATTCATGACAATGCTACCAACTTGTACAGATAATGTTGAGCGTCTGTCGCCCATGACCTTTTGGGTGTAGCTTTGCGGTGACTGTTGAACGATAGGACTGCGATGGTACAACCATTGTTACATTAACATTTGTATGTGCACGAAAATGTTAGTTATTAGATGCGGTCGGAGACAAACGCTTAACCCCGGATCGTGAACCAGTTAGCATTAATTATAACGGCAGTTGTTCGGTATAAAAAAAAAATTAGGACTAAATGCAATTGCCTCGTTCAATACGTCCGCACGGAAAATTTTTGAATATTAGTCTTAGCTGCTATTTCGATGGTTGCGGACTTAAATGGTTGTGCTTTTTTAAAAATTAAAAATAAAATTGCGAAACTTGAATCGTTGTTTGACGGTTATAGTTATAATATATTTGATATATTCTAACTTATTTTAAAATACTGAAATTTAGTTAGGTCACGTTATCAAAAATAGTGGATGAAATGCGTTGCAAAATCAATAAGCGACCGCATTGTCTGCAGTATCCGCAATCGTGATAAAAAGTGACTCGATCTAAATTCTTAACACAAGCAGGTAGATTACCGATAAAGCGATGGTCTGGTGATATTAAGACTAATGCATTTTGGTGATACTACGGAGTATCATATTCTACATTTTTAAATGTCTAAAAATGTCGCACGAAAAAAAGATGGTTCGTCATTCGTTTTCTTGAAAACTTGACATGAAAATCCTTCATTGTAGTCCTTTAATCGTTTCACAACATATGGATCAAGTATCCAGGGAGCAGTAAATGGAGTTTAGATAATGTCGTATATTTTTGTACCTGCCTATAAATAGTATGGATCAAATGTAAAGAAAATACTCTAAGTTTGAAGAGTTAAAATTATTTTTTATTGAAATAGATTCTACTTTTTTTTAGATTTTTTTCCTAAAATAAATTCGTTTTACGTACCTCATGTAGAACACATAAACATATAACCATTACACGGGCACATGTATACGCCACGTACACGCATATTGACAGAACGGTCGTCTGTCATAACCGCGTTGCCTAGATGACAATGTTTATGTTCACATGATGTCCACCCCTTCTCGCAACATTCCCACACCCCAACGGACATTATAATTCGTCGATATTGTTTCCTTCTTGTTCGCAGTGTATGTATATATATGTATAAAATATACGTAGATGCAAGATATGTATACACTTTATACATCACGCATGGGTGTACGCGACATGCGTTTCGATATTATCATTTCGATTACACGACAATTCACGCGACAAATCGAATTTAAATCAAATGCTTATCGTATCCGGAACAGAGCGTACATACGCGATATATTCGATAAATGTAAAATCCGTTATGAAAATAATACTGTGCACAAACATTCGAATTAAATCAGTTTTTGATGTCCGTTGCACTGGCATATTGTTTACGACGATATTTTGTGCGCGTCCGTAATAAGTGTGCTATTTGTTCGGATATTATATATATATATATATATATATATATATAAATAAATGTACGTATGTTCACAAATACATAAACATTGTAAATGTGTATATATATAAAAAAAATACAAATAATGCGAAAAATATTTTAGCGATTTCCATATTTCTATTTCCAACTCCTTCTCGCTACGGGTAGTTTTAAATTTAGATTTAGGGTTCAATCACTTGAAAACGTGTAATAACGTGGAAACTTTTTTCTTAAATTTGGCACGTATTTAGGTTTTTTTTTTAAAGATTTATCTAAAAGAGTCTGTCCAATCGGAAGTCATTTACAAACTTTTTTTTTTAAATAACTATTTAATTTTCGTAAGCTTTATAAAAAAAAAATGTTAATTTTGACCTAAATACTCGGTAGTTTAAAGGCTTATACAAAAATAGATATACTATGGCATACTACAATAATTTCTCATTAAACAATACTAACGGTGCATTATTTGAAGATGAATGCGAACGCCACGATAATATTAAGTACCTATAATGACATTCTGAACTAATTTAAATAATGTTCATAATATCAAATTATAGTTGTTTATTAACTCTTAAAACATGTCTTATCATTTCAATTATAAAATCTTTATACTATAAATCATAGTATTAAATTAAATTATAATTACTATGAAATTCAGGTTGGTTATATTTTTTAACAATACACAATTATACACGAATTTGATAATCGTTTGATTTTAATTAACAAGTTTATTGAACTGAAATTAAATATAAGAGTAATTAATAATGTTAACTTTTATCGTAGAGAAATTAAAATAATGATTTTATTTTGGTCATCAGTTTTTATATATAATCATTACAAATTGAAACAAAAAATTTAATTAAAATTCAGCTTAAAAAATTAATCAGTGATCTAGAGTTTATTAAAGAAGCAATGAAGCCTACATTTAAAAGGTAAAATATTTTACTAAATAATCATAATTATGCTTCAGTTAATTTGATAGTAAATGTTAAAGTGAAATTGTGAATTGATAGTATTCATATAAAAAATAATGAATGTAAACAAACCAATCAACTATCGTGATCATAAGAATAATGTGAAAAAATATTTACCTGTTCCTGCAAGGCTACCAGCTTATCTTCAAGGTTCACCAAACGTTCTTCAAACGCATCGTATCGGTTACTCATGTCTGATACTATTTCATAAACAGTGTTCTGCGTCTAAAAATATATCAATCATTATCCTCCATATTTATCATTAGAAAAAAATACCATATTTTCTATTACTCACTTTGGCCATGTCTGTTATTGTATTTGCGTTATCCATTAATTTTCTTTGGTCCATTTTCACTTTTCTCAACCTATGTGAATACATTATATTTATTTTAAATTAAAATCATAATAATGTATGTATATTAAATAAGTGAATAGTGAATACGGTTGAAGAATATTATTTTTTTTAATGTTCCACTTAAAAGAGAAGTTTATGCGATTGTTGAGATTATTGATAAAATCAAAGTCGTTCAAATCCTTTTGAATTCAACGTAGTATAGGTAATTTAAAAGTTTAATTGAAAAGGAGTTCCGTATATCATGAGGTTTTATTATCAAGAGACTTACTAGTATTTAATCATCACTAGTGCGTCAGAACTTTTTATTTTCTAGTCATCTTTTGTGAAGTGGTGAAAACAAGCAAAACAAGAAAAACAAAAAATAAATACCATTTGAGTACTTTCGTGTTTATAACAATTGGATGTTAAATAATAAAATATTTAAAAAAATATCCCGTATCATGTAGAATATTCATTTTAATTTGTGTTAGTTTTTTTTAAGTTAAAATTTATTTCGACTGTATAATATGATATTGTATGTGTTGGACAATATTGCAATCTGTTAACTTACGCATATATAGCCAATAGAAACTTTCGTTGGTGTGTTCTAACCCTGCCTGCGTTTACCCTTTTCACCAGTCTGGTGTGTTTGTATATCAGCCACGTCTCTCTAAGAACATTAGCCGCAGCGTTTTTCAGCTTAAAGAAAAAATATTTATATGAAATATAAAACAACTACACGTAATATAAAATTGTAATATTCTACTCGTTTTGTAAGTTGAGTGTCCATCATGAAATTATGAACGTGTTTTTCTGCCCTAGACAGCTCCATTTTACGTGATACGACGGCCACAAGAAGAGCTGTGCATCCAGCACCCTGAAAATTGCATTTCGGTCACAATTAAAAAAAAATTGTAATAGTCGAGAAAATTATATCTGGAGGAAAAAAATATTAAGGGACACAAATGTAACTCTACATTATAGTTAGTAGTTGTTTATTTATTGTGTTTGATGATTAAAGCCAACATAAATTTGTTCATGCAAAGTAATAAATAAGTTTTTGTGAAAGTTTGTTTAATAAATGATTAATGATAGTTTTAGAACAACAAAAACCGTACGTGGGTACAATCTTTGTGTGCATTTTTTATTCTCTGTTGAGTACAATAGAAAAAATAATAAAAATAATAATAATGATAATAATAATAATATTAATAATAATAACAGTTATAATAGTAATAATATTAATAGTAACAATAATTATAACAGTAATATATTATAAATAGCTCTATTCATGCAATTTAAAATGCTTTATGTACTAGTAATAAATGCGGATCTTATAATTTAATTAAATGGTTAAATGTATTAAAAGCGTAGTGTTTAACTCTTTTGTTTATCTCTGATTGGCAATTGAGGTAACAGATCGGTTTCAGAAATTTTCATTGATATATTCCGATGTCCAATGTCACAATAATTATAGTCCCACTGCTGTTCGATTGACGTTTAAATAAAAAAAATGTATTTTTTCGTTTTTTCATTCGTCCATGTTTTTAGTTCAAATTATTAACGTGAGCAACTGGCAATAGAATCAAGGGCGCGGAGAATTAATGCATGTTTCATAATAGTATTAATAATATCAATGTGTATTTGGAGTCTGTATGCTACTGTGCACTCCATTTGATTATAATAAATTTAGTGGTTTGTGTGGACGTACACTATCGACGTCTAAACAATGTCCATGTTGAATACAAACGAGTGCTTATTTTTAGTTTTAATTGTCAACTATACAATCAGCAAGCGTTCAATGGCCACGTAATCATATGTTATTATGTTCATGCAGTATTAAACAAAGAAGTTCCTGTATAGTTTTACTTAAAAATAAAACAATATTACAACGTGCATCCCGAGTTAGTGAAAAATTGAAAAATTATTTACATATTAATATGATTCCAGCGGATTTTTTTTAAATTAAATTAAAATTGTTTTTTTACTTTTATTCAAAGCTCATATTTTATTTTCTTGAAACGTGAATGAGGCAAAATAGTGTTAGACAAAGCGTGATACAGTTGACATTGCATGGCAATTAGATATGTTCAGTGTTTACATAAAAATATTAAAAAATTTTCATACTCTCCTGTTTATTATTCTTACTCAATAATTATAATATTATAATAATACATTATAAATATTATAGAGCTACATTTTAACTTACTATGACGTAATAAATACTGTACTGTCGAGTCGAAAATGGGTTAGACTAATGTATGTTTATGCAGTACACTGAGACACCACGATTGCCTACTTAGAACGCCGTGTTAGCGGCTTGTCGGTGTAATAATAAATTATTATTGCTGTCGTAATATTACTGTGTGTTACCTACATCTAAGACAGTGTGCGTCTATACTTTTAGAAGTGTCTAATTAGTAATTACTAAGTAATAATAATAATAAAAAAAGTTACAACACTTTATACAATATCACTTGTGATTTCACAATGTTATCAACAATGCTATACATCAATTTATTACACGAAATATCTATGATAGTGTATCTAAAGCGCTATTGAAACTACTGTACAAGGGGCTTGATGTATTTTATTAAAGCGCTTCTACGCGCATTGCATGATGTTCGGAATGTTCAAGTATAAGACACTTGGAATTTGCATCATATAAGCGTTCCATAAAATAATTGCTTTGAAACGCTTTTACATGTAATTAATATCATTATTGTTATAGTTCCAAAGGGATTCATATAAAATCACTGTATTTGGCAAAGTATATAAACATAGAAAAACAATTTCATAAGGGTTAAACACGCATATAATATACTACTCGTACGTACATAAAACACGTGCTTAAACGTAAATTAACATATTGAATTGTGATTTTTTTATTTAATATTTATGTGTTACATGAATCCCTTGGCGATGTCTTATGTTTATAATGTTTTATATTTAAAAATAAGTATTGTTCCGTCGAATCCAAATCTATTTGGGAACCGCTACCTCTTTCAGTTAATTTAATGCATTTTCCAAGCAAGCACACTATAATTTTTTGTTGTTATCGGCTGGATAGGATTCCCGGTCACTAAGGTCGAGGCCACTGGGATATTGGTTTGGTTGTTCTAGATTCGGTCTTACCATTATGCCGGTGGTGACCGCAATGCCACGACCGCAGTAAGTGTTTGGCACTATGTCTCCGAAGCCCACGCTCAGGAACGTGATCGCTATGAACCACATGGAGTTCAGCAGGTTAGCGTGATCTTCATCATGAAACCTACAGAGCCCCAGACACAGTGTATTGATCACAACCCAGATCCCGTAAAAAAAATTAAATTAAAATTATAAATATAACAATTTTTCTCTTATATCGGAACGCGATTTATGATTTTTGTCCTATCGACTCCAAAAACACATCGATATGTACAGTTTCCGTATCGAAATTATGCCTAGGATGCGTAAAAAAAAGACAATAACACAATTTTAAACAAGAGTTAATTTTTTATTCGTTTATGGTACGACAATATTGGTTAAAATACATTGAGCGATATCGTTGCTTCGATTATTTCTCCGCCCCGGGGATCCGGAACATTTATACGTTGTAACTCGTTTAACCAATCGCGATGAAATTTTAAACAAAAGTTGTGAAGCGTCAAGACGAGTTCAAGAGCGCGTGTATTTTTCATTAAAATGAAACGTGACTTATTTACTTGTTTTACAAATTAAATTTCATCGCGATTCAGTTAACACGAATTTATTAGAAACAGCGTAGGACTTTGGATCAGGAGTAAAGATATATGTATACAGTTTGTTGGACATTTCTTAGGGGACGAAAAATGTTCACGAATAATTTTTTACTGTTTAAATGGTTTAAATGGGTTATAATTCCAAAATAAAAAGATACCATACTAGAAATTCTAATAATATGTAAAGAAAAAGTTGATATGTTGAAGTTATCAAATCGAAAACAATTAAGTGTTGGTTAAATAAATGGTTAATTCTGGATGGATGAATGAAAAACATATATACATTGATAATTATATTATAATAAAGCGTTTATCATACTCGTATGTTTGGAATTCAATTAGACTCCACTATACTGAACCTCATTTTTCTAATAAAAAAAAAAAAAATTATGTATATTTAACTGTGACAAGGGTAGAACGTTTGAAAGCTTTCAATTCAATTGGTTTCCATTGACTGTAAATAGCTTTTTAAAGCAAATAAAGTTCTAAAACTTTGTGTCGCGTCTACAAAGTTAGCAGAAGCTCGTGCCAGGACATAATTAATTTACGACGGCAGTGGTGGCTACGGCAGTGTCGGATGGGTCGGGTGGGTGTGCCCCCTATTAAAACAGGATTATGATCTTTATTATTCGAAATATAAGCTTAATCGAATTATATGGTAACGGTAAGTAGGGATAGGGAAATGTAAAATGACTTTCCGGATTCACCAATTATACAGAAAACCCTATGTCGTATAGCGCTTAAACATGTATAAATACAAATCCGATTTCGTAAGCTCCAGAGTAAACAGTTCGCTTTTAATTGTTAAAGTAAATTACATTTTAATTTTCGTTTTTATGTTGATGAAGAGTTTCGAAATGTTTTCATGTTTGTGAATAAGTATCTGTGAGTATATGCGTGTGCATATTCACGTGTGAAAATGTGTGTATATGTATATAAGTTTGTATGTTTATTTATGTGTGTTTATGTTTAAAAATTAATGTGTGCACACACATGTATATCTGTTAGTGTATGCGTGTGTATGAGTATGGATGTATTTATGTGTTTGTGTGCAAGTGTGAGTATTTTTGTCAGTATGTGGTGCGTGTGTTGTCTGTTTCTGTGTGTTTGATCATGTGCACGTGTCCGTCCGTCATTATAAATCTTACCATAATACCACAGGAGAGCGTGATGCCTCGTCCGCAGTACGTGTTTGGTACAATGTCTCCGTAGCCTACACTGAGTAACGTGATGGCTATCAGCCACATTGAGTTCAAGTAATTGGCGTGGTCCTCGTCGTGGAACCTGCATGCAATATACAATGTCCAAACCACTGATAGGACAGTAGCAGTAATAATCGATCGTTTCTTTCGCACGCGATAATGCGTTTGATGATTATATTTTCATTATAATTAATTTTTAATAACAAAATAAAATACCAAACCATTTCGCAGCAAAAAAAAAAAAAAAAAAAAAACTTAAAAAAAAAGATAGTAAAACTACTTTTCAAACATTTTAGATATTAATAACGAGCAAGAAATTCCAAGGAAGAAACATAGTTAAGTACGGTTTTTTTATACTATTATCATTTTTTTGGTCATTAATGTGTATACATCATTATTTTTCACACCGCAAACGTCCCATTATAGGTTCCCGCTAGCGGCTAGTGAAAAGACGAAAAAAGAAAACCGGGTATTGTTAATTGATGTTGTACGTATTGAGTATGATTAATTTATTTCAGTTGCTGAGCTTTAAGAGTGTAGTAATACAAGTAATGTAGAATAATTTTGCATATGATGTATTGGAAAAATATATACTGGAAAGTAAAGGATTATACTTTGTTAGTAAGTTCACTATTTGGTTAAATATAATATAACATACCAGCCTCTACTGTCAATTATGAAAGTTTCATCAATTTTTAAGATTTGACATTGATGCCACGTTTTCAATTTTACTATCCGATAAGATTACAGTTAAATCTCGTATGATTATCGAATCGTATAACATTTTCATACAACTGGTTTTTCTTGTGATTTTAAAATAATTAAAACACACATTTTTGAGTCCTTACAAGTTTCTTAATTTTAAATATTATAATTTCTAAAGTATTATAAATGCATATATTTAGGATAAAGTAGCATACTGACCTAACCTGTATTGTATAACAGCAACAATTATGCCATTGTTTACCTATACAAAGTAAAGAAAAATCTATATTTTATTAGTTGATAATCTAGAAACTATTGGAATTAATAATTTTTTGAATTGTCGCATTAATTGGATGACACAATTATGAACTCAAATCAAATAGGTTCTTTATAATGTTAAAACGAGATTATTCAAATTACATTTTTAAATGGTTTCTATGTTTAAACTATAGTTATCGATATACAAGTAACTGTATATACTTTTCTCCCTTTTATAAAGTCACGTCCCCCATTAAATTACAACTGCGCATACCACACATATATACACTGGATTAGATATGTTAATTATACGGCCCAAAATTACAGTTTAGCTATCTATTATGCCATTGTGAATTTATAAATTGTATTGAATTTTCGTGATAAATTATTTTAATTTATTTTGGTTGTTAAGCTGGAAAATCTAAAACCATTGCCGAAATGCTAGGATTTTATTGCGGAATTTAAAAAACACTAATTTCAAATGGGTAGTGGATAAAAACGCTTTGGTTTCATTGGCGTTCACCATATTTCTACTACAGAATTTCCAGACGATGAATTTTGTCAGATCGGTAATTTGATGGATCGATTTAATTTCGAAAAATTTACTACGCGAAAAACCATTGCAATTTGCTGCCGAGCATAGTATACACAATTGAAGCTCAGCAGTATTTTAATAGAAATAAAATCATTGACGACAAGGGTTTGACAATAAATTTTCATCCGGGAGCTGTGAAACGCCGTAGTCACTGAGTTGTATTACAAGGAAAGAGGGCGAGTGAAAGAACAAGTGATAAACATTAGCATTGAAAGTATAATCATTTTGATTATTCATTTCCGAAAGTGCGTTTTGATTGCTGTTTTATGAGATCCCACCCATTTCCATCATCTGGATCAGTCAGTATATTTTTGGCATTGTTATTTATTTTGTGGGTACGTGCTGAGTGCATTTGTTTGTGGAAAAATAATTGCTCCCCGGAGTAATTTGTAACAGCTATGGATGGGGGTATAAAATCGAACAGAAGGAAATAACCGAATATTCATTTAACAGACAAAAAAAAAGGCGCAAACAACTGGAAAGAAATTGATAATTAAGATGAAAAGGGGTGTGCTAATGTAGCAATATTCTACTCCCTTTTTGTAGTTTATAAAGAACCAGCAAAGCAAAATATAATTAAAAAAAAAAAAAAAATCTTCCAGAAGAAAAACTCCGCCTCGTTTTTCATGTGGACTGTTTTCTAGTACACTCAAGATCTGAAATGACGCGTCAAAATCACTTGATTCTAAAGTGTATATAATCACGGGGTTCAAAAAACAAAAACTTAAGTATGATTGTTCCACGATCGTTAAAAATGTCATTCCGAGAGAGAGACTGTAAGATTGATGAAACTGTTTAACTGATAAAAATTAAGACGTTAGCTGCTAAATACTGGACGATAAATTCTCTAGTATCACTCATCAAGTAGTATATAAATCCTAAGATTTATTTCAGATTAAAATATCGTATGAAAATATTGTAAAATAACATCAGCGGTTCACTAATATTTTCAAGAGGAAACAAACGGAGTAAAATTATTTCGTAGTAACATAACTCCATAGTTTTAAAATACGAGTATGTAAATTAAAAATAGACTTTATTAAAAAATGTAATAGTTTATCACAAAGTAATATAATTAAATATCTTCATAGAACTTACTCTAAGAATTTCATTTGGTTGGGTATTTTTTTAGTTTTCAAATTTTATTTCAGAAAAGTATTTTATTTTTTAATTTATAATTAAACTCTTTGGAACTACATATATGGAACTATATGGAAGTGTAAAATAAAATTGCAATATATTTTATTTTTAATTACATAAGTTGAGTTATGGTATAATTTGATAACCAAATAAAAATATATTTCAAGGATTTTATACAATCAAGAATATATTTTTAATTATAATAATTCATATGGATTTTTGAAAATCTCTAAATGATTTTAAATATATATATATATATATATTGTTTTTATAAATAGTGATTATACATAATTAAGCTTGAAAGTAAAAAAAAAAAAAAAATAGCTTTTTATTCAAATTAGTACTAAATATTCAAACCTTAGGATTTAAAAATTAATATTTAATTATAACTCATTATAACTCTAAAAATTATAAGGAAGAGAACATTATGAGATTAGTGAGCTAAAATATACATAATTTTTCTCAAAGAATACTTAATTAATATCTTGATGGGAAAAATTTTTCTTTAATGTAAAATTTCGGGAACATTTTTGAGATCAAATATATTGCCCACTTAGTATTAGAAAAAAAATCAATTAATCTTCATTGTTTATTTTTAGTATATTTTTTAAAAAAAACCTTAACTACTATAATAGTTGATAAGAAATAACTCATGGTACATCATTGTACTATATACATTTTAAGTGGTATGATAAAAGGATAAAAATAATAATAATTATTACTATTTTTCTTTTTGGTAATATTAAACTACAAGTCTATGTAAATACTCTGACGTATATTCGTTATGTACTTTCCTTTTTTGAAACTGCATTAGTTAAATGATTTGATAATAATTTACAGTAACGTAATAAATTCAAATATTTACAAATGAATCTTAGAAATCAGAATTAAAAAAATATTTAAATTCAAACATATGTAATAATGTTATTTAAAAGAAAGCTATTGACTGTATTGGTATTTCTCCAAATTGAGTAACTCCCTTTTTCATCGTATAATTTCTTGGATTCGTCTTTGTGTACTCTTGGTTATGAGTTGTATGACTACACGATTAGTGTTTTCAGTAATATTACATTTATACATTTAGGGTCTCAGATAAACTCGGTTAACTGAAAGAACATTCAAAGCATAACAAACGAAAAACGCCTCTCTTTTGTTTTGTAGTCATGTATATCCTCGTGGTGAGTGAATAATTACTTGGCAACATTAAGGTTCATGAATAATATTTATATACATATATATCAGCTATTATTTCGAGCAAGTAGTGATTATGAACATTTCATATAATATACTTTGAGCACGTGGTGGTATCTTGACTTTTTTAGAATTTAAAAGTCGGTATATTTATTTGAAACATCTCATACTCAATACATTCGTTATTATCAAAACATGTCAGTTGCAGTATTTTCAACCAGTGTAATGATTGTTGTATTTTAATATAGACTTAAATTTATACATAAACATTTGTTTGGTCAACGAGACACAAAGAAATTAACTAAGAATGAAATATACTAAAAGAAAGTCATTATTTTGCTTGATTTGTGTTAAACATAACCTAGATATTAACTTTTCTATAATAATGGGTGGTAGAAATATTTTAAGAGGGAGATATTGTTGATTATGGTAGGGCTGGTATGTTATTAGTATAGGATGGTAACCATTGAAAATATAATAAGTATTCAAACTTAAATATTCAAAACTACAACACATATTGTTTGTTGATGTTCTGAAATTGTGTTACTGTCTATTTTTGCACATCTTATTCGAAGAAAACTAACATATTTTTAAACTCTTTTATAAATTTTTTGATATTTATTCTGAGAAATAATTTTCTGTCATCATTATTTGATGGAGGTTTTGTAACAGTTCAAAGTCATAAAAACATTCAGCTTTACATCAACTGCTTTATGTCATTACTGACACATTTTGTTACCGAAGTAACTTTTAAATTCATACAAAATATCATGTAAAGACAAGCTTACAATTGTTAAACTTAATTCAATTCAGCTGTTCAAAAACTGTGTTGAAAATAACACAAAAGAAAAAAAAAATTAAAGATAATAAAATAAAAAAAGAAGCATCTATTCACGTATACATACAATTATGATAAACAGAAATCGTGCACACAAAACATGATATAATAAATCGACGTTTTTTGAATGGAAAATAATACGGTTTATAATCAACAACGAAAACAGTATTGATTAAATTAAATTATGTAAAAATTATAATTTTTTTTCTTCATATTCTATAATATCTAACAAGAAGCAATCATTGAAATCTTTGAAATTTTACTTCTTCGCCGGAATGATATTCGGTTGCACTCTACAAGGTGAAATAAGACTACTTGTTTTTTCTGAATAAAATTAAGACACTATCCGAGTAGTGTTTTTGTTTTGTGAGTTTCAAGAGAGTAAAATAATGATTAATGGAACATAGTACATAACTTGTCTTTGTACTAAGAATTCCCAGTGGGAAATTTTGCTCCTTCCAGAGAATTCGACAAATAGAGTTGAGATATGTGTAAAGTTTTGCTTGAATGTCCGACGGGAGGAGCTGTCTACTTGGATTTTGTATCGAAATAATTTGATATATAGACTGTATTGTATACCACGTGACAGGTGGATTTTTTTATGCATTATACATACAATGTGGTAAATGAAGTAAAATTGTATCGCATATAGTGTATGAGAATATTTTCCGAATGAAACGGTTCTACAAAGAGTGTTAAAATTATGTTTGAAAATTATGAATACATTTGTAAATACATCGTGTATTTATATGAGGACCATACAACATTACTTGTAATATAGTGTTATTGAATGTACAGATGAAATACAGTGTTACGTCTAATTTGTGTTGTTTTACTAATTTTTTTTTTACCACCAAATTTGTATGGTATGTACTATAAACGTCAATTCTAGGAATCGGAATGATTATATTTTTGTTCAATCAAATAAATTTTTTATATGATTCAAAGGTGAAACTAAATATAATATAATTTATTTTACATGTTTTAACTATCGGATAAGATGTTTCTTCACTGGCAGTTTTTTGTCTGTGTTCAATATTGTTTATATAATTTTTTCTCGCAGACTTATTAATCGAACTTAATTTTATTCAAAATTTAAACAATTCGGTAAAAAGTGCAAATTTAATTTACATTTTTCACATAAATTGTTTTTTTTTAAATATAGCTCAAGTATTCTATCAAACAATATAGTTGTCAAAAGAATATAAATTTATATTTTTATAAAAAAAATCCACTTTTAACCGATAGATAAGAAAAGTATATATAGTAAAATAAAATGAAAATGGTTCGTATTTTTGTTGTAATTCGATGGATATGCCGAAGAATAATATGTCAACCAAAATAAAACGTGCGTGGCTATATTTTTGTAGATTTTTGAACAAAACTTTCCATTATAGTTTTAATTTTAGGTAATATTGATCATTTAAATTTCTTGTCGTCATTTTTATGATCATTTTAGAAAGTTAAAGTAATCGTTGAATTAAAATTATGCATATACAATAGTGTCTGGTCGAAGAGGGATAATTGAGTGTTGCTGTAAAAATATTAATAGCGGATATCCTTTAAATTTTATTTTTTACTGAGTTGTGTTGAAACTTAATATACTGTTTATATTAGATAGTCTTATGGCACTCTGTAAACCAAATTAAAAGAGTAGTATGAATGAAGAAGGCCGATGAAGACAGTGGTTAGTATACCGTAAATATTGCACTGTCTATTTAGAAGGTTCGAAAATCGAAAACTCGGTGTGGAAGATTCCGCTTGATAACACATAATGATTACGTACAACAACAGTCTTATTCAGTTATTGCATTCAGTTTGAATCATTTTTAATGTATCTGTTGTTAGACCTTTTTATCGTATAGGCCCACACATCTCTACTCATACATTCATTCATTCCATTCGTTTCATACGTTCAAATACACAAATGTACTTACACATTTATAACCTGCATGACGGAAAACCAATCAGAGAACATAACTTGTCCAATATTACTTTGAACTGTCACAAAACATGTTACAGAATATTATTATTTTACGAATGGGGTCATATAAGTACTAAAATATCAAATCAGTATATGCTACAGTATAATGTCGATATAGTGTTATACGTTATTGGTCGTAGTTGTAATAACGTATAATATATTGATACTGTAATAAAGAATTTCTTAGCGAACGCGAGTCACTGAGAACCGTTAAAAAATAAACGGAACAAATGAAAAAGGAAAAAAAAAATTACAAATAAGCCATGAATAATAATAATAATAATAATAATAATAATAATCGTTATTTAACGGCGTTGAGTATGTCACATTCACTTGGTGAATTATCTAATATCGCTTTTGTGCTGGCAGCCAAAACCGTGAAAACGAAGTGAAACGACTCCTATCTATAAGTGCACAGTGTTGTCTGTGTACATTTTCGAGTAAAATTATTGAATGCATTTTAAGAATAGTAAAATAAAAACAGTTCAGCTGTACAATGAAGAATATTATGTTTAGAGACGATACCGAGGATAGTCTGATAAACTCCTTTCGGACACGGGGAAATGTTTTCGTTCCGACGTGAATATGAAAACTTATTGGTCTAAAATAGACGGGACAGAATAAAAAAAACACCAAGGCCAATTTAATATTGATTGCACGTTTTGGCAATAAAAAATATCAAGTTAAAAGTTTTCAAACCCAACGAATGCTATGTACGTTTGGCGAACAATCGCTAAAAAACGAGTATAGGAATATAACGACTGTACGCTGAAATTCGAGTAAAATACATTGTTTCGTAAAAGCTTCAATCCATATTGCGCATTATTATAATAAAATATTGATTTACGAACATAATAGAGCGAAAACACATCGAAACGATTGTTGATGTCACCAAGTGGACGAGACATAATACAACGTTATCTTTCGGACAATGAAATTAGTATTAGTATTTTGTTTCGCTAATTTTTCTCTTTCCCTCAAGTTATCTCTCTATGCAAAAATGTATGTATATAATTATATTTTACTTTATTTAATCGTCCGTTGTTTATATTTTTTTGGATTAAATCGAATGAAATAAATATATAAAAACAAATACGTGTGTGTGCGGCGTGTGTTCGTTCATCGTTTACCTCTCGCACTGCCTGAGCGTCCAGCTGGCGATTATCCACAGGGACACCATAAACACGAGCAGCACCGTGCCCGGGCATATGGTCATGAGCGTTTTCAGCACGAACCTCGTGTTGAAGTTGATCCGGTTCAGGGCGCCGATGCTGCGGGACGACGCGTCCGTGAACAGCTTGCTGTGCAACAGCATAACCCTGCAGATGAGGTACAGCCGGAAGAACATTGGCAGCGACAGCGGTACGTCGTACGGCACCCACCGCGTCTCCAGTTTCCCGTGTTTGTTGGCCAGCTTCGTTTTCCACTCGAAGTAATACTCGCCCGGGATTGGGTGGATCGCGCATATCACCAGCTCCATCGTGATGGTGGCGATCCGCTGCCACGTCATCGCGATCCGCCAGTCGTCGGCGCAATTGTCGATCATGAACAACTGCGGACACGCAAAATAAAAAAGCGTATAGATAACGATATAGATTATTGATCATAGATTATTAACCTTTTCTGGGTCATTAACTTCTTTAATGTATAAAATATAATCACGGACCACTTTTCCCATTTAGAAAATAAAATATAATTTTTATTTTAGTTATTTTTTAATGATAAATCTAAGATTATCATAAGATATTAAATTATTGTTGATAATCACTTTTCTTTTATTTAAAAATAACTTTTAATGTGACATTTACTGTTATTTTGATTGCAATATTGCCTTAAAATTTGGACAGTACTGGACAGCGCATATTGTACTTAATATCCAATCGATTCCTTGCTTTAGTTTTTATTGTGCTCATTGTAGAAAATCTAGGCTCACAGAGATAGGTAGTAGCGGATAGAATCAAACATCCCAGCCATTCTGTGGACTCCCGAGTAACCATCTACGGACCCCCAAAGGGTACATGGACCCCGGTTAAGAACCTATGATATAGATTATTGTATAACATACCGTCGTGTCGCGGGATCGTGCTAATCTTGGACTATTTGAAGCGCGGTCACTATTACGTCACGCGGTTAATGCGTACCGTTTTTAATACGTTAGAAATCAATTGACCTCCACGTACGTAATATCACGTTTATATTTTTCTGTCGTTTGACGTTACGTGATATCATATTTTATTGCGATTCGGAATTTTTACTCGGTGAAAATTGATGCTCATGTTAAACCAACTTGGTTTTTATTAAATACGGTAGAAAAATAAAATAATGAAACTAGTCCATTATTGGTTCGAAGTCATCCTCTACGCACAAGCGCACTCCGTATGAAACGAATATCACAAGAACATCCAACATTAACGAGTGATATCAATGTGACCATTCACATTCATGCTCACGTAATGTGACGTGACACGAATTAGGAAAATAATATGTGAGCTCACGTGACGTGGATAACAGTGAGTCTTCGCCTTTATTCTTGATACGTAGCGAGGGAAAATATTTCCTAATCCCGAACCCACGTACCCACCTGCATGTACACCCATGCAGTGTGTCTACTGTACGGTTACTTCCTAACGGTATTACACAGACAATGTTGTAAAATGTGATAATCATGTTTTTTTTCTCGACAGCAAGTACTCGTTCCACCCCTACCCTAACAGTAGGCATTGATGGAATGCTTTGATATCAGAACGAACTTGTTGCGACGTGTTTACATTTCGAGTATAGGAAAAAGTCAATCGCACCTATCCGTCGTCAGTCTTTTCTATTTATCTAACCGGGTATCGTTTGGCCTACATTCAGCATCACGCGCGGACGGCCCGAGTACAGTTGCTATTATTCTGACGCCACTGTTATTTAAGTTTCGCACTATATAGGTACACGCTGGACAGACGACGTTAGTGTGCGCGCAACAAAACTAGGAATCGTACGGCTTCCGTGCGCCTCCAAGGCCCGCCGGAACGGTACGCTTCAAGAACCCGCGATATTGATCACTTGTGTTCGATTGGTCTCGAACCGGCGAACAATGCATGTTGTCACTGTACCGCGGCACGAGATTATTACATAGATTTTGACGTAAGTTTTCAGATTTCCTATATGATGTGGCTATTGAAAAATGTCCACTTGATAGCAAAAAATAAATAAAAAGCAAAATCTAACGTTTTTTAAAGGTTTGTATTGATGCAAAACGAATAACTGTTATTCCATGTGTTTCTGGACGATTTATTAGGTCCAAAGCTAAGTCCGTTATTAAAATAGCTTAAAATGTATTGATTGTATATGGTTTATAATGATAACATTTGGCAATAAATCCATATACGTCACATGAACATCAAGTTTTATACGAATCGTCTGAGAGTACGAGCACACATTGCATGTCACCACTTTCGCGATAAATATGGCCCTGCTTGCGATCGTGAAAAATAGGATTCTTTATACCAACTTTTTACGTGGTGATGCTAGCGCATATAGAACATAAAAAATAAATTGAGCTAAAATGTACTATCAATATTATTATTATATTTATTATTATAGTAATAGTCAAATAGTAACATAAATTTGTAAAAAATTGATTATATTCTCAAATAAGATTTGTCTTAAAATGTTTTTAGCGTTTTTATTTTCAACATCGAGTTACAGAATGTTTCGTCCACATTTTTTTTTTTTTTTTTTAGTGCACGTAGTAGTTAATACATATTTTTAAACTTTCGCTGTAAAAGTTCACGTTCATGTTAATACTTCGATCCCGACAAAAATAAATAGAGCAACAACAACAAATTATTGATGAATTAATATCAAATTCCATTGTTTATGATCTTTATTTATAATTTATATATTTTTATTATTTTTATTTATAAAATTTATACATATTTTTTAAAACAACCAAGATGACCGCAGAACCTATACAACAAAAATAATCCGTATTAGTATTATATTTTAGTTCAATTAACAACCGTATGCAATATATTGTTCAACTCTCTTTCCAGCACTCGTAATCCTTATGCGTAGTGTAATTTTATCTAATAATAAACTTCAAAATCCCGTAAACTTATTACATACACAACAATGTATTTTTCACCTTTTTTTCTGGGAGTTAAATATTTGACCTTTTTAGGTTACAAACGATGTTTTTTTGACATCACAACTCACTAGTTAATTTTGGCGTTGATGAATTTTTTTTTGGTCGTTGACTATAAATCAGGAATTTAAATGACCCAAAAAAAAAAAAAAAAAATTAATCATCAATATACAAATCCGATCATGCCCATGACTAACATATTATTTATATTTTGAGTTAGTGTTTGGAGAGGATCTAAACCAGCAAAAACCTTCTGGTCCCTAAATAGGCTATTATATTATTAAAATATTAATTAATTTATATTATTCTTAAAGTCAGTCGCTAATAATTGTTTATGTTTCTTTTTCTAACAACGTACTCTTACTATCTGTACATATAGTATTTATCACCTGTATATCGCTCACGCACGTCAAAAGATTTTGAAAAAAAAAAAAGAAACAATCAAACACTGTAGCTCACGCAAATAACCACAAATACCGTAATATTACGACTCAATGATAAAACGAGAAATAACAAACCATCGGCTGAGAAAAATGCAACATTCGTACTAATCACACTGGAAAACGCGTCACGTCATCACGGTTGCAATACTTTTCACATTACGATCGTTTCGCGCGCAATTTGTGGGTTAAAGTGTTCGAGTATTATTTATTTATTCTGACCGGCAACACGTTTTAAGTCATGAGTCCAAACCGTGTATATGAATATTAATTCATCGCGAACCAGTGTACCTACTACTATCTGCGCACAAATAATGGTCATTATATCGTCAAAATATCTCGACGTTTACTCTCTTGCTCGCTATTTATTTTTCGTTAATGTAAAAAAAAAAAAAAGAGGGGAAAAACAGTAATAAAAAGCCCGTACGTGTTTCGACAACTTTTAACGGTAGCGCGCGAGTGGTAGTAGAATTTCAGCGTTTATTTATTCATGACCGATATTGTGAATCAAGAGTGAAACGCATAATAAGACTCTTACAACGCCGCCGAGATCGTGCGTATTTGAACGACGGGCATTCTATCTGTAGAACTATAAGATATTGATCCGGGTGACGAGGCCGATCGACTGGAATCGATAAATTTTCGCACTGAGAAAAATGAATTGTTTATGAGATGTAACTCGGCGAATACCAGTTGTTTAAAGTTGTAACGGTTCGGTGACGTTTTATATATTTTTACGCAACGTGGTCGCGCGTGATCTAGATACTACTTGTTTTTTTTTATCGATAAATTAGATATCTGTATATTTATAAATCTCTAAGCGTTTTTTTGTTTGATGTGTTCATGAGTATATTTTTAAATAAGTATTAAAATGCGACGTAATATTTGAATAATTATTGTTGTTAAGTTTACTAATGAGGTGACGGTTATGTTAGGACTTTCACTGATGCACAATAAAATGATTGACACGTTGAAATATTTATTTATCAAGTTGAAAAATGTTGAATACTTTATCGCAATGGAGTAGAATATTTCCTTTATGTTTCCTAAACGAACGCGCTTAGTGGTCACGAAGTTTCATACGGTTTATTTGACGACACTTCATTATTAATTCACGTCACGTTACGTCATCTCAGTAAAACGCTAACACTGGAGCTATATTTACTATAGATATATTGTCGAGCAATAGAACTTTTTAAGAGATTTAAAAAATAAATAAATTCATCGATATTGTTGAACATCGAAGAATAAAAATGAAATCAACGTTTAAAGTTTGTGTAAAATTAGTTAACGATTCAATGAAAGTGGTGAACGATGGTTTGGAATAAGCAAACATAAATTGTATTTAATAGTTTATAAATATGTTTCTTGGAATTTGTATATCAACATAAATGTCAAAGGGTCTTTTTAAACAATATTTGCACATTTGTTCACTCAAAAAAAAGAAATAAAAACTTTTGTAGAAGTATAATATTTAGTAATTATTTACTTGTAAAGTCAGTTTTTAGTATTTAATGAATTTCGTAATACTTAACGACATCTTAAGAAGAATGTTTTTGTTATGTTTAATTTTACTATTAGCATCCCCCGACACGTCCTCGCCTACGTTATAACTGAATAGAACCTTGGAGTGTGTCATTAGTGCATGTAATATGATCTTTTTTGAAATATTTATCTTATAGTACTTCTAGTAAATAACATTTTATGTTTTCAAATTACCTGGTAATAGAATAAACTGATTTTTCGATTTACCTGTTCCTGATAGTAACTATATAGCTATATAGTTCTAGCTGATGTTGCGTGCTGTATGTCCATAACACTGAATTACACGGTTTTGTAAGGAAGTATTAGCTGGGACAATGTTTTTAATGGATTATTACCTTACACTATTTTAAGCCTAATTTAGTGTAACTGTTTGTTATAAAAGAAATAAAATGAAATTTCAAATGCATCGGTATGTTAGTTTTGGTTGTACGCTGA